TTAATCATCATCAGTGACAAATTACATAAATTACGGTTCCTAAAAAAATTTGCTGAGATTATCTCGGTATCGTATCTACTTGGTTTGCATCTGTTTCTCCAGTATGACGATTTAATCGGTCTTTACTGCACGGCTCTGTACACTTTTAGTTCACTGCTCAATGCAACGATACCTTCAAAATGGCGCCTCGGTGACGTCACACATAATAAACGCAAACGTGACTGACAAAGACCGATTACCACTAGTGTAAAGCTTGCATGTTAGTTTCACACACCTTTATAGAGAGGCAGTGGCTATTTGCATTAAGCGCAAGTAACATATTTTAGATGCTGTTTACACTGAGTGACAACAGAAGTATTTTCTTGGCGATATGCTGTTTACACTAAGTTAAAATAGTGATAGATTCTATTTACACTCTGTAAAAGCAGCAGTATTTTCTTTGCAATAAGTGTAGTTTTTTTTACTATTTATACTCATAAATAGTGTCAGATACTGTTTGCACATCAGTATTGTACATTAACAGGATGCAATAGTAACGTAGAGTGTACATGATTATATTTATTAAAATTATGACATGGATGCCGCCTTTATTGGGACAATAACGCCCTCATCCTTAGACCTACCCCTAACCCCGATATACCTCATTATTAACCACTCGTTATGCACATTGTTTCCACTTTTCTTCATTGAAAGCAAATGCCTTTCTGATCTGATATGTGATGGGAAAAGTGGGAAGAGCGAGTCCAGCAAAAGACGGAAAAACGTAAATCAAAGAGCTATAGTTTGCATAAAGAAAATAAAGCATTTTGTAGGACTGTAGAACAAAATAAACCACATTTGAAGATACAAGATTGTAGCAAATCAGTTTCCCAAGGATATCATTTAAAGCACTGTTTTTGTTTTACAACCTGACAGATGAGCCAAATCATAACCATAGTGCATAAATTATATGTAATCAGAATACTTCTTTAACACATTTACAATGCAGTCTGAGCGGAACCTGGTTATAGTGTGAAGAACACACACACTTTTATACATATATCTTCAAGAACCTTTTTCCACAATAAAGAATATTTTGTGCAATTGAATAATTTCATAGATGTTAAAGGTTCTTCATGGAACCATTAAAGCACCTTTATTTTGAAGAGTGTACGTAGGGATGCTAGTAATGGCTAATGAATGTGCTAAACTTCAGTTAGATTCATTAAAAACAAGAATCCATCTCACTGAGATCTTTAACTCTAAATCTTTAAATCCAAATCTAAAACATCCTTATTTAAATGTTAACTGAACTGGTGTTTATGGACACTGACCGAATCTGACTGGGGTTGATGGTTATCAGATCCGTCTTCAGCCCAACATCACTGTCATTAATCGACGCCAAATTAAACCTGAAACAGAGAGA